TATTGAAGCATATGGCTATTTTCCTCTGAGAAAACGGACACGTGACTACACATCATTAATTTGTGATTATTATTAAAATCAGAATGTAATTTGAAAGATTGTACAGTAATAGATATATTTTCTAGACTAGAAAAGAGCTAGAGAAAAAGGCAGGAGAGATACTCATAAAAAATTTCTGCCTTTTTTATGAGTATCCCTGATTCATTGCTTTTATAATGGTGTCCAGAATATGTATTTACTCACACTGGAATTTCAACTGCAAATGTAGAATAAAAATGTTGATCATTATTTTATGATATTCAATCTTTTAATCTCATGGAACTCGTCTTTCTCAAAGATTTGGAGAGCAATAAATTAGTGTTTGAAACAAAGGCTAAAAAACTGGGAATGGCCAAGGTGAATATATTCTTAAAGCAGTTTCTCTATATTGTCCTCATTGTATGGAAGTGGAGACTTTTCTGCAGTGTGTTCTAGTACTTTACGTGGAAATCAGAAAACTCTATTGGACTGTAAGGCAATTCTTCCACTCAGCTACGTGCCATCCTAAGGCCATCTTAAAGATCTCAACCCCTTAATATAATTGTAAGGGAAGGAGAAACAATTTGGCTTGTTTCTGATTTTTTTCATAGACACCTCTGCAAAAAAGCTATAAACGATGTTTCTGTTGGGGGTATTTAAAGTATACTTCATGGGTATTAACTCGGAGGAATCCTAGATTTTAGATGTGATGTGCGTGAGATATTAGCAACCTTGTGATTATGCCTTATAGTGTATTTTTTTCCTCAGCCCACTCCTTGCTTCAGGCATGAAGGGCATTTGATAAGTATCTGAGGTTTGAGTTTCTCTCTGAGAGAAGCTTTTATTGAATTATTGCTTAGCAATTAATGAAATAAGCATGAGTAGCATGGTGGGAACATACAATTTAAGTGCAAAAAAAACTCTCAAACAAGAAAACAGCTTTGCTATTAATAAGCTACAAGCATCCACAGTGGCAGAAATGACTCAACTGTTGTGAAATTTGAATTTCTCTCATTGTTTATATCTAAATATGAAACATACCTGGCAACGGCATGAGACAGAACATGCCTTCTCATTTTCCACATAATTTACACCATGTGTTTGGCCAAAAGTGCTGATTACAAAATATGACTGCAATTGGATAGCATAGCAATATGGTTTTCCACACCTATGGCATAAGGCTTGGTTCGTTTTGATTAAAGAAATAATTGTGATCCAATTTCATAATGTTGATCACAATTTCATCACCTGTGCCTGGAAGGAGAAGAAAATATATGAGGGGTATAGCAAAGAGCAAACTCATTAAAAATTGTCTGTAAGAAATTATGATCATTACATTTAAAGCAAAGGTGTGGTATTGTGTTTAATCAAACAAAGTTTGCAAAGTGTTTTGTGAACTTTGCTTGGATTGTACAAACTTAGACAAGGCACATTTAAAAAACTTATGTTTAATGGAATATTTTGAGAACATATCACTTGGAGAGCAGATAGATAAATTACCATGAGAAAACTCCTAGCATTATATTCTGTTTAGCAAAAAGTCTTATTATGGGAAGGTGAGGTACAGGATGCCTATTCAATTCTTAAATGTCAAAATCAACATACTTGTTCATAAGCTATTTACGAGGGGAATAAAAAATATTGTAACATATTTTTCTTTGGCTACAAAATATATTCTTGGAAGATAATGAATAGTTCAACAACAGGTTCTTGAATTTTCATGATGCTGTGTGCCTAGGCTCATTCCCAGGTAATTTTTGAAAAGCCAATAAATGAAGATGAGTCCTAGGAAAACATTGTCAAATTTCTCAATCTCCTTTTTGTCTCAGTGGAGCTCTCGATGATGCTAAAGACAGGACAGAGTAAGCCAGATACCCTTTCACTGTCAATCAAAATATTTGGCCTGAAAAATGTTTACAAGTACCTGGGGGAAAATTAATTGCATTTGTTGACAAGCATCGTTCTAAGCAGAATCTGCGTCCAAATTTGGGCTGGGGGTTGCTGTTCAAGTTGAATGGCATTTTTTAAAGAGATGATTCAGTTAATCAATTGTATGGCAAATTTTATTCTTTTCTGTTCATTGGCTAGAGGGAGGTGTTCATCCTGAGTAGCTATAGACAAAGTCTGAGAAATAAAAATCAAAACTGTAACTTAAAAATCTAAAGTGAAAAATTTAATGTAAATATTTTAATATAAAATTTAAATTAAAAGTTTAAATTTCTGAAGTCACTTTGCAATATTTTCATGGAAGCATCTCAGGCCAAGAGGCTTGGAGAGGGAGAGAGGAAAGAGGATTATGAGCTATGAGTGGCAATGTAAAGGGAGAGGCTGTGTGAGATGAAATGTAACTTATAACGTACCTCACACAGGTGTGTGCGGGAGACCAGTGAAAAGTGGACCGGAGATGCAATCATCAGGAGGGTATGGGGTTTACCATGAGGAACCCCAGTGAGTAAAAACATCCTACAATGTAGGACATAATGACAAATTTGAAATCAATGAATACAATTAATAAGTCACAGAAGCTCAGAGTTGGAAGACTCACTTAAGGGGTGAGAGAGGGTTACTGCGAGAACGTTGAGTCTGAGTTGGTCTTTAAGGATGAATCAGTTGCAGCAGGTTGGGGAGAGGGTGTTTATGTACAAAGATGCAATTCTAAGGAAGAGGGCAAACATAAGCAGATTATCCCTCGTGGCTTTAGAAGACATTGCAGCTTCTGGAACATTTTCACAAGCCTTATCTCATACAATTCTCACCACAACACAGTGGTGGGACAGCTGTTATTACAGATGTGCAAAGTGCAGCTCGGAAATTCACCGTAAGAGCTGGTGTTGAACCTCAAACAGATGTACTTGACCTCCTCTGGCTTACTACAATAGCTAAGTTATAGCAAGGGGAATGCCACAGTGCATTGGCCTAAACGGGAAGAGCATTGCAGGAAGAATGACCGAAGGAACCAAAATTCACCCAAAAATGGGAAGCAATGAATCTTTTTAAAAGCCTGCACACAACCTGAAATAATTCATGAATTTATGATAATGATTAGTAAAGAAATACACTTTTAACAATTATTTTCAACCTAAAGCTAGGATGAAGCTGCATAAGAAAGATGGTAAGACAAAGGTGACAAAAACAAAACAAATAGGGCTTCCCTGGTGGCGCAGTGGTTGAGAGTCCGCCTGCCGATGCAGGGGATGAGGGTTTGTGCCCCGGTCCGGGAAGATCCCACATGCCGCGGAGCGGCTGGGCCCGTGAGCCATGGCCGCTGAGCCTGCGCGTCTGGAGCCTGTGCTCCACAACGGGAGAGGCCACAGCGGTGAGAGGCCCGCATACCGCAAAAAGAAACAAACAAACAAATAAACAAAAAATACAGATGAAAATAGTGGAACATATCAAGGCATAGTAGAGAGTTCTAAGTGGTCTGTATTTTCCAGCCTTTGCAAACTCTGTGGATTGTAGTTTACTTGTTGTATTTCAGCGATGTCCATTAATTATGAAGCAGAATGCTACCTAAGTACATTTGACCATTAACCTATATGACCTGGATACCTGAAAAACCTGTCACCAAGCATAAGCCCATCTTTCCAATATGTCAACAGAAATAGGTCCTTTAAGCAGAGTGGCATTTTTTTTTTAGGTCAATTTGTCTACCAACATGCGTTCTCCTATCTCAGAACAACATACAGAGACGCATGAGTTTAAAATGAATGAAAATATATTCAATCCATAATCAAATGAAAATGTTTGGGACTGGTGCCATAAAGTGTTCCTGAATTAGACTTTCTTCAGAACCTAAATTTAGCCATCTGGCATTCTATTTTAAGAATCATTCAAATTTTTGAAATGAAGGATTTGCCTTTTGATGAGGAAACCATAATTTCATTGTAAATATGGAACACGTTGTCCTTGACTTGGAATGTATTGAATTCCATATGATGAAAGAGGTGACATCATTGGCTAGTAGTGAGGAGAGAAATTGTCAACCAAAAATAGAGTATTGTTCTAGAATATCAGTAATTGTTACAATGAAAATTATTAGTAAAAAACTTCAATCTTGTTATTAAGGGCTAAAGAATTACAAAACATAAGCAGTGTAGTTTTCTTAAACTATTGATTACTATGGGAAGAGGTTTGAAATATTGTTAAAGGATGTAGTATTCTTGCATTTTATTTCCATAAAGATTATAAAGCATAATTGTAGTGGCATTTGCTATTAAAGAATCTGATGTTATCACAAACATTTAATAGTAATATCATTTTAAAAGCTAAGATATTTTAAATTCAGTACAACACTACCAAAGATTTAGTTGTAGCTAAAATTTCTTCAGAAATCTTATTGTATGACATTGAGCCCTTCTTTATTTAACAGATACTATTATTTGACTATAACGTTAGATATTATCCCAGGTATTGTGGCTACAATCATGAAAAAGAGGAACATAATATCTGCCTTCCTGAAGCTTATAGTCCAGTGGAAATTGTAGAGAAATAAATGAGCAGTTATTACAATACGGTGGTGAGGTTCTGGTATAGCATGCTTGGAAGCTGAGTCCATAAAAATATATGCTTCAGATTAAATTATTTTTAAATAAACTGTTATGACTTGTTCTAATTCTCTATGTGGATTTAAGTTTTATTGTATTAATTGTAATAGAGGCTACTCTTTGCCAAGCACCTTATTAAGTCTTTTGCATTCACTCACCCATTTAATTCACACCAATGGCTGTTTGAAGCAGGTGCTATTAGTCATATTCTGAGAGACTCACGCTCAGCAGGTACAATACTTCCCCCGGTCACACTTTGGCAGCTGACAGAACCTGTGATCTTCACACTATGTTACATAAGATTTCTGCATCGATTTTAGCATCTTGTGGAATAAGAACGTTCTATTGACTGATCAAAATTCTTGATTACAAAGAGGTTTCAGTGTAAAGATTTTGTACAAAAATAATTCAAATTTTTAGAATAAACTTTAAGCCAAGTGTATTCATTATTGATTGCTACATTAACACATTATCTCAAAACTTAGTGGCTTAAAACCACAAACTTTTATTATCTCACTTAGTTTCTGAGGCAGGGAATCTATGAGCAGCTTAGCCAGGTGGCTCTGGGTCTCGGTTTCTCAAGGCTACAATCACGATGTCAGCCAAGGCTGCAGACTCGTCCGAAGGCCTGATGGTGTGGGAGTGTCCACGTCCAAGCTCCCTCACGTGGCTGCCAGCCAGTAGCTTCAGAGCCTCACTGCGTGGACCTCGCCAGTTGCTGAGTAGGTCATGGCAGCTATCTCCCCCCAAAGCACGTGGGCAGAGAATGTGTGACAAGACAGAATCTACTGTGCCTTTTATAACCAAATCCAGAAGTGACTGGGTCTGAGTCCAATCAGGAGAAAGAAACTACATGGCAACTTGGATAGGGAAAGTTTAATATAAAGAATCATTAACCAAGCAGGGGGTTGGAATAATGAAGGATTAGCTAATATGTAAAAAGAACTCTAAAGAATGTAGGAATAGAAAAAATTAGGAACCTCTAGGACTGATAGAACACTCAAGGAAGAGACCCCTCCCCAAGACTGAGATCCACACCCTCTTGCAGGTGTGACCGTGACTCACTGAATGTGGGAGAAATCTCCATGGTGTTGCACCTGTGGACCTTGCCAGAAATCAGGTTTCTGCAACTTGCTGGCCTGCCCTCAAAGGTTCTGGGTTGTGTCTCACTAAGGACACTTAGAAGCCACCTGCTCCTTGGGAGCTTGTGCTGGAGGAGCTGGTGTTATTGCAGGAAATAGAAGCTAGAGAACCGCAGGTGCTTCAGGAGCTGGACAGGTGAGCCCACTGGAACCAGAAGGGAAAACCTTTTCTTCTTGCAGCCTCTACAGCACCCTCTATTGACAAAGTTTAGCATAGTGTCAGGTGGCAAAGGCAGAGTATGTGAAGGGCTCATCTTCACTGAACAGGCAAAAAAGGTGAATTTGGAGTTGAGGCAATAAAGCAATAGCACAGTAATATACCATCACTTCTGTCATATTTAACAGTCACACGGGCTATCTCTGGCACACCCTGGGAGGGGATTACACCAGGATGTGAATTTCAGGAGGCAGTAGTCATTGGTGGCCATCTTGGAGGCTGGTTACTGCACTCTACCCTCTGGTACTCAATCATTCACATCCCTCCCACATGCAAAATGCACCTGTGTTAGTCTTCTGTCACTGCTATTATAAATTACCACACGCTCAGGGGCCTGAGATATCACAAATTCATCATACAATTCTGTAGGTCAGGAGTCTGACATGGGTCACACAAGGCTGAGATCAAGACAGCAGCAGAGCTGTGCTCCTCTTTGAAGACTATAGGGGAGAATCCATTTCTTTGCTTATTCAAGTTGTTGGCAAATTCAGTTCTTTGTGGTTATAGGACTGCTGTTCCTGATTCCTTGTTAGCTATCAGGTAACCCTTCACAAATTTTACAGGCTGCCCAAATTCTTTGGCCCACATTCCGCTTCTTCTATCTTCCAAGTCAGCAATGATCCATTCAGTTCTTCTCATCCTTTGAATCCTTTCCACAAGTGTTTGCATCCAAGGAGACAGAGATCATCAGAGGACATCTTGGATTATGGCTATCATATAGTGTCTTGGAAAAAAACCTTTTTTCTCTTTATCATTTTTAAAGAAATTGTGAATATTCATCCAAGGAAACAGCAATCACAAGATTACAGCTGAAATGAGTTTGCCTCCTATTTTGAAAAAAAAAAGCTTTGTAAGTGTATATGCAGTATTTTTTACATGATTTATAATGGGAATTTCATAACTACGCAAGAAACATAATGATACAGCTGGCACAAGAAAGACATATTGTGATGTTAGGAGTTATAAGCACTATATGAAATAAAACTTTCAAGAAAAGGATTAATGAATTTTAGAAATTAGTTTAGTTAATCTGGCTCATTTACACACACATATTTGTTGCTTCTAATTTATTGCTGTGAGTTTTAAAAGTTTCCTTCTTGGGCCTCCCTGGTGGCGCAGTGGTTAAGAATCCCCCTGCCAATGCAGGGAACACGGGTTCGAGCCCTGGTCTGGGAAGATCCCACATGCCACGGAGCAACTGAGCCCGTGCACCACAACTGTTGAGCCTGTGCTCTAGAGCACGAGAGCCACAACTACTGAGCCAGGGTGCCACAACTACTGAAGCTTGCGTGCCTAGAGCCCGTGCTCCGCAACAAGAGAAGCCACCGTGATGAGAAGCCTGCGCATCGCAAGGAAGAGTAGCCCCCGCTCACCGCAGCTAGAGAAAACCCGCGCGCAGCAAAGAAAACCCAACACAGCCAAAATAAAATAAAATAAAATAAATAAATTTATTAAAAAAGAAGTTTCCTTCTTTCATATACTCCTTAGTTTTAATTTATTTTAAAGTATTTTCCTGTCAGAAACTATTTTTATTCCCCCATCATTTACAAACTACTCCCAATTCACGCAGCAAAAAGTCTATAGCTGCACAATTTTTTTCCCTTTCCATATTCTCTTCCAAATTATTCCATCCAGAAGATAATGGCCATCATTTTTAATGTGCTTTAAAAAGCACAGCACATTAGATGCAGTTGAATAATGGGTTCCATGTGATGATGAATTATGGAATGATGAATGAGTATGGGAAATTAATACAGAGGGAAAGCTGTAGACAATCATGTAAATATAATTTTTAAAAACACTATGATTTTTAATCATTTAAACCACCATCTTGCACGTGTATTTTCATTATCTTCCAAAATATCAATTAACCTAGAGCACCACTTACTAACATTTTTTTGGAGGAGTAAGTTTCTTTTGAGGATACCATAAAAGTTACGACCACTCATTCCCTCCCGAATGCATATATATGCAATTCATGAAATTTGTGGACCTCCTGAAGCTGTAAGTAGAATAAATTGAACTTCAATATACCATAGGCTACAGGATGAAAATTATTAATTGAGTGTAAGGAGGGCCATTTATGGTAACACCCATTTCTTAATGATGTTACTGGTTCAGAGAGATATTTTTTCAGGGTCAAAATGAGCAAGAATACAATAAGATTCTTTAGAACAAAATTTAGCCTTTACATGAAATACATGATATTAAACAGAGCAGATTATGGGATATCAAGAATTTTATATTTTGTTGGCCAGACAGTCCAAATTTCTTATTTTAGGTGCACATGCTGTATGTGACATCAAGAACACTCCTCCTGGGCTTCCCTGGTGGCGCACTGGTGAGAGTCCGCCTGCCGAGGCAGGGGACACGGGTTCGTGGCCCGGTCCGGGAAGATCCCACATGCCGCGGAGCGGCTGGGCCCGTGAGCCATGGCCGCTGAGCCTGCGCGTCCGGAGCCTGTGCTCCGCAACGGGAGAGGCCACAGCGGTGAGAGGTCCGCGTACCGCAAAAGAACACTCCTCCTATCCCAACATACACATATATTTACTAACTTTCAGTTTATTCAACTCATGTAGAAACTAGGCTGAATAGGTTAAGGCAAACTTCTTTAGAGATTTTGTGTAATAGCTGAGTGAGAAATTTCCAGAATGCCAGTTTGCATTCCTTCAGGTACAACTTGTCTGACATGCAGCATGGAAAACCAAAAAAGGATGCAATAAAATGCAGAAAAAGTTACTGATTCAGTCATAATGGTGTTAACTTTTGAGAAAAAGTTAGCCCTGGATAGTGCAACAGAAAGCAAGACAAGCCAGGGCAGAATTTTGCACATTCCAGTGAAAGTTTTTAGGCAGTCCTGTCCACGGATATACCCTTAAAGGATGTGACCCAGGTGAGACTTACCTGCTGAAGGCAACTAATCCACAACGAGCAAATTATCCTCCCCTGCGGGGCAAGCTATAATGGCAGCCACATGCTTCAGAAAGAAAAAAATCATGTGTTCCTAGAAGAGGAGGAAGCTAGGGGCTAGCAGAGGCTTGCCTAGAAGTGGGATTGGAATATAAGCTGAGAATTTTTAGTTGATTTAGAATGAGAGCGTGTTCCAATTAGGCGACTGAGTGTTTCTGACAGAAAAAAGATTCTTATAAGGGAACAACAGTGGCCTCATACAGAAAGGAATTTACCAGATTTTGGCACTTTAATGTGCCCTAAGGAGATGAGTGACGAAGATGAACCTCTAAAGTTGGGGCTGATTTGGTTCCAATATGGTGTGGAATAGCTTACAAAATCGGTAGAGTATAATGACCATCTAATAGAAAATATCTCTTCTTCATTCCCCCAACCACTTTTCTCTTTCCACAAATGTGTGCACACATACACACATTGCCCCCAACCACAATGCACAGACTGCCATACATCTGTAGAGGCTGAACAGTGCTGCTATTTTTGGAAGGATGCCTAAAGATGTCACCAAAAAATGAACCTCCAGTTATTGAATCCAAAAGAAAATCCAACACATCCATGTAACATGTGTATTTATGTATAACAAGAATTGAAAGGAAATACTTTATAATGTCATTTAATGTGGGCGTGAGTGTACAAGCAAGTGAAAGCAAAGGAGGTATGTCTGCATCTTGGAAATTTTAAATGCTGTTTTGGAGCTGCAGCAATGAGATTAAGGGAATTGTCAAATAAAATAGAAATGCCATTTTTTAAAAAATTAGACACAGTCATTGAAATTTTTGGTTTATTTATTTTTTAGTAAAGCTGAAGATATTATTTAAAATCAGTGGGCCTATGTGAAATAGATGACAGATAAGGGATCATGTTATAGGCATAACATTCCAGCTATGTTTTGACAATGTCAAGTATAAACCACAAAGGGCTCAACAGGTAATGTTCATAATGGATGACCTTTATATCAACTTCTTACTTTCTGTTTACTTGGTATAAACCTATACTCTTCTAAATGATGCTTTGTCTCTTATAGAGCAAGTTATGGCAATCAGAGAGAAAAACAGGACAATGAAGTTAAGTTGCTAGCATGGGATTACTAAAGCAGTTGCTTTGGATAAATTAAATCTTCATTTTAACTAGGTCAGTTACTTTCCTTGCCATCATACAAAGCACGGGAAGCTTCATGATGACAAAAGGCCAATTTAGCTATCACACACATATGTACACACATACATATAAATACATATAGATATGTGCATAGAGCTGTTAAACATGCATAGATTGTTCATAGTAAATTTAATTCCTTAAAAGAGCCAGAAGGCTCTTTACAAACGTAAACATAAGGAAAAATATATTTGTAATATGCTTCCAAATTTGGCTATGTGATTTTATCTTTTATGATAATTTGGTAAGTTAAAATGTTCGCACATGAAAATTTTAATTCTCTTATACTCTTTTTTTTTTTAATTGAATCTTGGAATTACCTAGTTTATCAGCTAAAATCTCCTTTAAAATTTTGTGGGTTTCCTGTGTATCAGATAATGGTCAAATACATTAAAGAAAAGCCATCCTCACAGATCTCTTCAAGACAGGTCTTTCTCTGCTTCGGCCTGTGAGTAGGATGGGATGAAACAATGCCCTTAAGACTCTTAGAAGCCCTTTTGTTCAGACGGCAGAACCTATGATTCACTGACTTCTGTCATTCTGAGGTCTTTACCAGAAAACCTCCTTGACCCTGAAAGAATTCTTGAATTAGTCTGACTCTGAGGGCAAGATCTATTGGCAGCCTTGTAATTGCTTTTTTCCTTAAGAACATTTTTAATTTTGAGGATGTTTTGCTGACTAGAGACATTTCCCTGGGCACTCTATATTTCCATTAAACTCATTAAAAACTAAACAGTTTTATAGCGTTCATATCTTATTTCTCTCGTATATACAGTTAAAAGAAGTACATAAGAATTACCTTATACACAGTTTAAAGAAGACAGCTTACACCTCCAACATTCCTTTCTGGAATCTCCTTGGCCAAATCTACAAGTTTTGAGGTGCTTTTTCCATCTTCTGTGTTACTATGGGTGGCAGTTTCACTAATTTTTCTGCCACCACATAACACTGGCTTCTGTTTTTTCAAATACACAGCAGATTTTAAAGACTTAGCATGAAAAAAAGAAAGAAAAGTATCCATGAATAATTTTTATATTGATTTATATTTTATATTGAATTAAAATTTATATATTTTATAATTATTCATTTTACATTGAATGATGATATTTTGATTAAATTGTGTTAAATAAAATATTTATTAAAATTAATTTTACCCAATGTGTTCATAGATGTGACACCCAAAACACAAACATCCAAAAATAGATACATAAACTGGACATCTTCAGAAGCAAAAATGTTTGTGCTTCGAAAAATACCACCAAGAAAGTAACAAGACAAGCCACAGGTTGGGAGAAAATATTTGCAAATCATATGTCTGGTAAGTAACTTGTATCCTGAATATATAAGGTACTCTTACAACTCAACCCAGTGATAAAGACTTAACCCAACTAAAAGTGGGCAAAGTTTTAAAAAGGTATTTCTCCAAAAAAGACATGCAAATATCTGGCAAGCAAATGAGGAGACGCTCAGTACCATTAGATATTAGGGAAAAGCAAATCAAAACCACTATTTGATACCACTTCACACCCACCAGGATGGTAAAGTAAAAAACATAGACAATTACAAGTGTTTTTGAGAATATGGAGAAATTGGAACCTTCATACATTGCTAGTGAACATGTAAAATGGCGCAGCTGCTTTGAAAAAGAGTCTGTCAGACTTCAAATGTTAAACAGAGTTACCACATGACACAGCAGTTCTTCTCTTTGGTATATACTCAAGACAAATGAAAGCATGTTGCTATGGACTGAGTGTTTGTGTCCCCCTGCCCAAATTCATATGTTGAAGACTTAACTCCCATGTGATGGTATTTTGAATGAGGTCTTTTTGAGATGATTAGGTTTAGATGAGGTCATGAAAGTAGAGCCCTCCTGATGGGATTAGTGCCTTTATAAGAAGAGCTACCTGAGAGCTTGCTTTCTTTCTCCCAGCCATGTGAGGACACTCCAAGAAGGTGGCCATCTACAAGCCAGGAAGAGACCTTTCGGCAGAAACCAACCATGCTGGCACCTTGGTTTTGAACTTCTAGCCTCCAGAACAGTGAGAGTCAATTTCTGCTGTTTAAGTCACCCAGACTTTGGTAGTTTGTTATGGTAGCCCAAGCTGACTAATACGCATGTCCAGACAAAAACTTCTACACAAATGTTTATAGCAGCATTGTTCATAATAGTCAAAAGTGGAGACAATCCAAATATCCATAGATTAATAAATGGATAAACAAAATGGGTCTATCTATAAAATGAAATGTTATTCATCAATACAAAGGAAAGAAAGACTGATACATGCTGAAACATGGATGAACCTTGACAACATTATGTTGGAAAGCCAGACACAAAAGGCCACATATTGTATGATTCGATTTATATGAAATATCTTAGAATAGACAAATCCACAGAGATAGAAAGTACAGTCTAGTTGTTACCAGAGTTTGGGGGGGAGGAGGAACTGGGCTGTGACCACTAATGAATACAGGATTTCTTCTGGGAGATGAAGATGTTTTAAAATTAGCTCAGGGTGGTGGTTACAAACCTTGGTGTATGGACCAGAAACGATCAAACCGTGCACTTTACAGAGGTGAATGTTATGGTATGCAAATTATATCTTGAGAAAGCTATTATAGAAAATTAATTTTATTACTATTTTTTAAACTTTAAAAAATGTGGCTACTAGAAATTTGAAATCACCTATGTGGCCTGCATTATATTTCTGTTTTTCTAGGTGATCAAAGGCAAGCATTTATGGAGGGAAGTGGTACGGTATCTAAATTCACTGGTGACTGTACAGTTAGAATAGAGAGCAGCTGTTTAAGAAGGATAATTTATTAGGAATGTTAAAGATATTGTATGGCCGAAACAGAAGAGGATTTGTAGGAGATAAAACTTGTTTTAGAAACTATTCTAATGTAGTAGAGTGTCTTGAAAGCCACAGAAAAAAGCTTGTACTTGAGGATCAAATTTTTATGTTTTTTTCTTTTCTGTTTTAGTAGCTGTTGCAGGAAATATTTCCATTAAGGAGACACTTCTTCAGTTAACTATTTTATATGAATGCGAGGGCAGTTGCTAGAGTATGTTGATAGGATTTTCCAATATTTAGGTGTCTCAAAAACGCCAAAGTTTACCCCCAAAATAAAATAGTAAAAGAAAGCACTTGGTATAAAACCAGTCCTTTAAAAAGAAAACTTTATTTTAGCATCTTTTAAAAATATTTGTAAGCGATTTTGGCCTTTCTGGTTAAATTTTTCTTATCTTTGGCCTATATGTTATTTTTAAAAATACGTTAAAATAACTCCACATACCAAACCCCCAGAATAAAAGCAGGTAATTCTGAGAGCGTGCCCCATGTAACATGAGCAATCTATCACTTTTGGGTAACTGATGCAAAAAAGCACTGTTAAACACTTGCTGTTATAAAGAAGCTTTTTTTTTTTTTTTTTTAAATGAATATATTGTTTGCAACCACATTGTCATCTTTCAGATCTAGAGGTGCAAAAAAATGATCATTTAGCTTCTCTGTAGTGAATTCACAAGGTGAGGGTGGAGAGTTAAACTTTGTAGTGGGAAGAAGGAAGTAAAAAAATATATATACTTGCCACTTCTTTCTTCCTATTTTGTGTTTAGAGACATTTTCCCATGTGTCTTTGGTTAATGGAAAACCTGAAAATTCTTGGTGGGGTTGTGAAGGTGGCTGAGGTGCTCTGGCTTCAAAGACCCTTGTCATTCAATAACTATGCAGCATTCACTAACTTGTGTCAGTTTATGTTAAAAATAGAATTAAGAATTGTCACAATTGTCCATATAGTTTAGTCAGGGATATCATTTTTTGGCTTTTAAAAGAAAGATTCAATGGAAAATGATTTGTGGGGAACTTTGATTTGTTTCACGAATTGCCTTGTGTCTCCACTTCACTTTCTTATACCTCCAGCTGCTGAACATAGAGAGCTCTTGATGAAGTGTCAACATTTAATGAGATGCACAAACCTTTGTACTTGTAATGTTTTTCTCAAGTCTGGATTTGCCCATCTTACAAAACAATTCTCGAGGGAATCTGAGAAGAAAAATTCTTTTAAAGGATTGTGGAGTATAGAAGTTATTAAAATTCAAGTTTATGTGACTTTAAAACATAACCTATATAATTTCCTCATTTTTACTTGGTTCTGAAGCATGAGGAGCATTTATACATATAAAAGAATACTTATGGGCTTCCCTGGTGGCGCAGTGGTTGAGAGTCCGCCTGCCGATGCAGGGGACACGGGTTCGTGCCCCGGTCCGGGAAGATCCCACGTGCCGCGGAGCGGCTGGGCCCGTGAGCCATGGCTGCTGAGCCTGCATGTCCAGAGTCTGTGCTCCACAACGGGAGAGGCCACAGCAGTGAGAGGCCCGCGTACCACAAAAAAAAAAAGAATACTTATCTATGGCAATTAAAAAGAATATGTCTGAAAGTGAAATTCAATGACAAAGTGAAATGCAGTATTACACAGCATTCATGAATATGCATACCTTATAAAGTGATCTGCTTTAAGAAATAGTATACAGAAAATACCTTTACAGTAGATGTGTAAAATAGTTTTAAAGTTGTATATTTCATAGTACACTCATTATTTAAATGATGGTAACCAAGAATACAATTTGAGACAATGTTACCAACCTGAATTTTTATTTGATCCAGAATGCCCTAATTCTTGCATCTTAACCAGAAAAATGGGAACAAATTTTGATTAGAATGTTGCTAATAGTTTGTATTTAAGTATTTACAGTATATTTTAATATCTATTATCTTATATACCATTCCAATTGGTCCACTTTCATCATTTCGATAAGCTTAGATACTTGTTCTCAAACTGTGGGTCCCAAGACCAGCAACACCAGCATCTCATGATGTAAATTCTTGAGCCTCATCTTGGACTCACTAAGTCACCTGAGGAGGTGAAGTCTGGCGATCTGCGCTGTAATAAGCCCTCCAGGTACCGTGATGAGAGTCAAAGTCTGAGAACCACTGGTCTAAGAAAACCACAACTCCATTCTCCCTGTCCACTATCGGTGTAGGAGGCCCATATGACACAATTCTGGTGAGTAAAATCTGGAGACAACTCTCTAGAGAGCTGTTCTACAATTCTTTTCACTCCTAAAGTGGGAATCTGACTGGATATGCCCTCATATCCCTTTCTTGAATTTGAAAGTGTTGTTTGACCACGTAAGTGGCTGCAGGGATTTATTTGTTGACAAGAGGACAAGCTCCAGGGCACAGGGGGCAAAGTGAGGGTCACAGAGCAATGGGGTGGAGGGAATTGTGCTCTTGATCAACGCTGCTCAGCTACCGGCTTTACCAACTCTGGTAGCTCCCTGTCTCTGGATGTCTCCTTGTGTGAGCTGAGACAGTTTCCATATTGTTTAATCTCCCTGAGTCAGGTTTTCTGTTAATTGCAGCCAAAAGCATGATAACTGTTACACGTGATCAGAGGAAGGATCTATTAGTCTCTATTTAGTTTCCAGCATGATTTTAGGGCAATTATTAACTCTTTCAAGAGCATCTGTATTTTACATCCTCTGTGAATGAAATACATGTGCTCTGACGTAGGAATTTGAAGCATCAGAACAGAATAGGGAAGATGACAGTGTAGTGACTGTATGTGTCCCTGTGTGTGGGGAGCGGGACTTGTAGAGGGCTCTTCAGACAGTTCTAGAGGTGTTACCCTGCGCTAAGAATTTTCAGGGATGAATTCTACATCGAGGGCTCGAGCAGAAGCTCATATTGCCCGTGAACAAAACTGCTTGTAATATTTCATATTGAAAATAAAAAATAATTGCAGGTGTTTGAAGAATGATTTTCCCTGTTGCTGTGGCAGAAAGAGAGCAGAACAGAAAGCCCATGAAGGTGAACACCTTCCCAGGAAGAGGGCATTTTAAGAAATACCTTCATAGATCATGGAAGGTAAACTGGGTATCCCATTATACCGATCCAAGGCAGATAGAGAGGGACCACCCGCTGATGGGAAGATAAACAGAACTCCCACAGGAGCAAGGATAGATGAACAAGACAGGACAGGTAGCACTTGGTGAGTTTCCCTCAGCCCCAGGCAGGGGAGGAGTGAAGACAGGTAGAAGTGTTTTGACTCCCAGAAGGGGTCTGTGACAGCACAACATAATTTATAAAATAATTAGGCATACGTTTTGACTGGTATTTGGGGGTATGGAAGTCTGTCAACTGTCAAAAAAGAAACATTTTTTCCTTAGTTAACTAAGAACAACCTAATTTTCTAGGAGGTGCAGTGAGCACAAGTGCAGCCAGGAGGTGTGTCAGTGTCACCCACTCCGGGTGTCGGGCACAGTTGGTCCCATGTTGCCACCAGTCCAAATGAAGACGTTCTGACAAAAGTGACGTGTTGAACTGCAGTTGCTCGTAGCACCTAATTATCAGTAGTTAACACACTTGGGGGCTTATTTTGCGAACACATCATCCCTTTCCCGAACTTCTGTCCGATCCTTGGACACACTTAAGAGCTCATCCAAACGGTCCAGGACAGATCTAGAACTCTATAACCAGCGTTAAAAAAGCACACGTACACACTGCTAGATCTAAAATGGACAACCAACACGGACCTGCTGTATAGCGCAGGGAACTCTGCTCAATGTTATGTAACAACTTAAATGGGAAAAGAATTTGAAAAAGAATGGATACATGTATATATATAACTGAATCACTTTGCTGTACACCTGAAACTATCACAACATTGTCAATCAACTGTACTCCAATATAAAATAAAACGTTTTTTTAAAAAAAGCACATGCCTTCAAGGAACTTGCAAATGACCTAAAATAAAGGCTTGTTTTCCCCTGAATACTTTTGTCATCTGCTTTGCGGCAATATTGAAAGTATCTCTTTACCTTTTGCTTCAAGACCATGATTCTACACTCCTGGGAATTAGAGGGTAGCATGCCCAGGGGTGTGCAGAACTTCAGGGACAGACATGCTGGGGTTCCTGGAACTTTCAATTTTCTTCAAATTTTGGATAAAAACATCTTTAAGATGAACACAGATATTTTATAGAATAGCATGTAAATTATACATGAATTTTTGAAATAAAATATGTTACTTCCAAGACATAGCTTGGCTTCAGGTCGCTGAAGGGGTTTTATATCTGTGAATAAAGGCTCATTTTTTTTCTCTGCCATTAGGAGTAGGAAACATCGAAAACACTGCTTTGGAGAACTGTATTCCATTAGCTAAGCAGTGTCACAGAGTGGGCCTGGATGGGTTAGCCCTAGAAAGCAGTTATGCACCCAGAACTCGCAACTTCCAGTTACTTGTCCATATTAAACTTTCTGGTTTTTACATTTTCTTGACTCTTTAATTTGTGCTCCACCATCTTTTTATGAAATGTTTTCTGGATTTCTCTACATTATTTTCTGTAATTGCCTTTCTCCATCACTCTGATCTTTGCCACTGTGCTTCACAACTACTGCCAGCATCCCCCAACCCACCCATAACCTACCTTAGCTTCTTTTTTCATGCTTGTGACCTTGAAGCAATCTTTTTTCTTGGTCTCTTGGTCCTGCAATGTGCTGGTCACTGCTCCGGGCTTGATGTTCTGGATCTCACAAATACTCAGTAACCAATGTGTAGGTCCTGTGTTCAAGAAACAAAGTTAATGAGTAATAAATAAACTAAACCCAAGTCTTTCCAAAGTGACACCTATGCCTGGTTCTATCGGTTGGTGGGGGGCAGAGGGGGAAGGCAGAAAAGAAAACTGGTTAGTTTATTTACTGTGGTGAAAGAAAAAGAAACACGTCAAATTGATTGGCATTCTATAAATTCAACAAACTAATTGAATTTATCACCTTTAATAAGGCATCTGACAGCTAAGAAACTTGACAACGTGAAGTTGACTGACTTTGGCCATGATGATAAAACTAAAAGATGCTTGTATACAAAGTGCAAGTGTCTAGACTCTCTTGTTCAGAGTAAAATTCCATTCCCTGTGACTTCATGGTGATTTCGGAATAAGTGACCCTGAGCCAAGTCAACTGGATACAGTGTCAGAGAAATGTAAATAATATGCATATCAGGGTATCTGAACAAAAGAACAAGTTTTGGCTTCCATCACTGAGGAATAACAGTGACGTGGGGGACATTTGGACATGTTCTAAGCAATTTAGGAAGAAAAACAATTGCTTATAACACATATTCTTTAATATTTTAAATATTTTGTGTAAATTTGTGTCTTCTGTGTGAATGTCTTGATCATGCACTGATACACTCTGATAGAGTTGTTATTATGTTATTATGGACCAATGTTGTCAAATCAAAACTTAGTAAAATATTTCCTAAGCTTCTAGTGGGTGCTAGGCACTGTATAAGTTATCATCCTTGCTTACCCAGATTATGTAAATTAGTTATGGCCTCACATACGTGTGTGTCTTTGTGTGTGTGTGTCCAAAAGAGTATACGTCTAATTTAGGGAAGCACAAGAAGCTTCCTCAAAGTTTCAATTGATCGGTGGAAGAAGCAGCAGTCTATTTATATGTATGAGATATCCACAAATAGGATGCTCACCGTCAGACTTCTGCTGTAGAATTATGTGTTAAATTGTATAATGTGGTCACTAAATTCACTGAAAAGAATCCAACATCATCATGAGTTCTATGGAGGTACGAATCGAAATAGACTTTGCAGGATGAACAAACTTTCAATGTTATTCCACATAATGATAACAGTGATAATGAGAGTGAAGCAGCTGTTTTGTTTTGGGTACTTGCAGTGTACCAGGGACTCTTCTAAGTACTTTATGTACGAACTCATTTCCTCCTCACAAAAATCCTCTTTGGCACAAAAGACAGAGAATACTAGCAGCTCGTCACAGAGATGATAAATCAGGTCCATCCTCTCGATCATATCTACTCAGATCTGATATGTTTTTTAAGCTGCATAAAAATTCATTGAACCTGTAAAAAAAATTTTTAATGTAAAAGTAAACTCTATATCCAGGCATTTTTCATGGCTAGATAAGGGGAACTATTCATAAATTCCTTTCGGTAGGCTCAGCCTGGGAAGTTTTTTTTTAAACAGTGAAAAATTTTGAGATTGCCTGAAATTATTTATGAATCAGAGACTATTTTCAATGCCTGGTAGCAAAATATCCCAGGATTATGTGTATTTTAAGAATAATAATAATAATGAAAATATGGACCCCCCCCCGCCCCCCGTTTCCCCGTGCTTTTTCTTCCAACATTACTAATGTTCCTGTAGTTTCCGCACTATGGAAATACAAATAAATCCACCATTGATTTCCACTGGGGTTTCTCTCTCTTCACTTCCCCTATCCCAGAGCAAAGACTAATTTTGACTCTGGCTCCTTTATCTGACCCCAGTGATAAAGTAAACAGTGGAAAAAGTTTTTAAATATAATGAAATCCTATTCCAATACAAGAGAGCCCGCATGCTTTAAGAAGAAAAGCAGGCTCTTTAAACTTTGTATTGCAAAAGGAACAATTTTACAGTAGGATCATATTAAATAACAGGCAATAAGCCTAACTGAATTACTGTCATTATGGGTTGAAAGGGGAACACCGAGTAACTTGTTTTACCAAATGCTATGCAATTTACTCCGTGTCTATTTAGACGTGATGTATAGACCCAGGTCAATTACTGTGATTCTTTGGTAGCTTAGAGCCTCCTCACTGAGGAAAGGCTAGGCTCTGGAAAAGGGACTTGTCCTGGTTAAGCAACTATTGAACCAGCCTCTGGTGACATGTGTGAAGACAAAATAGTTCACTTTTATCAATCGAAACCGAGCTGAAAGTGTGAAACAAGGGCTACATTTACTATGAACATTTCTCTTTATTGGGGGCTTTGCAGAGTAGTAGAAACATATTTCACTGCAACCTCCTTTATTTTGATTGATACACACTAAGTGAAATGGGAAGAATTCTTGAGACCCCTGGGTATGCAAGCACCTTTCTTTCAGAAATTACAAAAAAAAAAAAAGATCATTTATGAGACGTAGCAAAACAGAATGCTCCAAAAGAGAATGAACTCGGAAATTTTTATGGATTGAAAATACATATGTACCAGAGAAAAACATTCAGATACAAAAACTTCACAGCAATCTTAAACAACATACGCTTTACACATTCTGTTAGAAAGGAATCATCGGTTACGGAAACATCCAAATAGCTGATCAACATACAAAAATCAAAAATTTTTTTTATCTTGTATAGTAAACCAGACACTTATTTATTAGCATTTTTCTAGTTTGTGTTGGCATCAAACAGATAGCTTTCTTAAAGAAGCACAGCCAGGCTTTGAGGTACAGAGCTGTGCCCTTCAAGTTCATTTGTAAGTCAGTAAGGACTGTAGGATCAAGAATGCACTCTCCCAGAGAAGGAGAGTGAGAACCAGAAAGCAGCTCTTCAGTGTGGCCCACGGCAGTGTAGCATGAGATGTGTTGAAATAGAAATGGAAATTCAGGAATCCTGAGTTTCCCTAAAATCACGAATTCTGGTCTGGCTTCAGCCGTGAATACCTCTGATCCCAAGTTCTAGATTCTTTGGAGTCTCTTGCCAGGTGTTTTTGCATCCAAAGCCTGGAATTGCCTGAACCCTGACCGGAAGGACCTGGAGACTAGATGGGGAGGAAGTCTAGGCAGTTTTGAGAAGCTAAAGGTGGGAGAGGGCTGCGTGGGCACCAGCAGCTCTGACAGGAGGACGCCAGGAGGCCATGATTCAGAGCTGACCAAGCCATATAGGAGCCTGGGGAGAAAGGAAAAAGGTGCAGCCCCTATATGCAGTTATCAAAATATACGCTCATATTTCGAACCAAGTAGAAACGGTAATACAAGCTCTACAGAAAAAAATAAAAGACTATATAGAAAGCCCTGTGCTGCCCTATCTCTCTGCTGGCCGTTTGTCACCCTCTATAATCCCACTGCTAGGAATGCCAGGACCTCTCTGATGTCAAGCTGATTGGAAATGACTGTTCCCTTCACATAATATTTGTTTGTAAAACGAACGAACAATGTGTCTTTATTCCAAAATTTGATAGTTTGTTCATCACGGATTTTTTTACGTTAATTTTTATTTTTTAATACACGAATTTAAATATCTCTAATCTGGATACTGATTATTTTGGGCACCTCTTAAATCACGTGCCCCAATAGAGTTCCCCTGACACCTCGTCCTAATCCTGGCCCTGCTACAATTTACATGGGGATGGGGCCCTGAGTCAGGGACAATCTGCATTTGGAAATGTTCTGAGATCTTTTCTATCAAGCGCGTTTTTAAAAAATTGAAGAGGAGGAGATGGGAAAACTTTTCAAGGGCTTGTATTTCTTTAAAACTTACCGGAATCAAGTCGAAGTTTCAGTTAGAGAATTCAGAGATGTAACTGAATCCCCCAAAGAGGGCTGGCAGGGCAGGACTGAAATCAGTGCTTGTGAGGTGTCTCTAATGCAATTCATTTCTAAAACAACATTATGCTCTGAGGAAAGGTAGCACTTGTGCAGTGTAGAATTAGACACAACCAAAAGCCTTGGCTCTGCCTTTTGACTGTGACCTGGAAATGTCAGTCCCCACAGCGTGAGCTGTTTAAAACTCATGGTGAGAAATCAGGACAAGTAGATATTTGTCACCTTCAGTTGTGCCTGTACGAATTAAGCCACAGGGACAAAAAAGAAATAAGTTTTTAAAAAAAATGTTATGTTTCTCATAATCAGTAAAATGTACTTATCAAGTTCTAATGTGCAAGGCAAGGTTTTCAAGTGTTGTAACAAATAAGTGGTATCCAGCCTATCCTGGTGAACCCCAAATCATAGAGAGAGGCCTCTACCTGACCAAAATCTAACATCTCAGTGATTGGCTTAAAAGCAAGCAAGCAACCAACCAAAAGCCTAAAGTAGGAGGAGGAAAGGAAACTAAAATAGCATATGCGACATACGCATAGTGACCACAGGTCTTGGTTTTTTGGAAAGAGTCCAATTTTCAAATTTTGTGTTCCGTAGTCTCCATGGTTACCTTGGTCAGACCTAATGGGCACATCAATATGCCAGAAATAAGGTCACAGTGGCAAGGTTAGCATTACTTACATGCAGATTTCAAGGTGTTCTAAAAAGGATACTCTTCCTCTCAGAATAAATTCTCCCATACTCTCCATCTCTAAACTGGTCAAAATGGCAATACTTTCATCGCAGGGCTTTTGGGAGGATTGAATTTACATGTAACAGTGTAAATGAAGAAACTGTTCACCAACTCCTCTGCTAGAGGCCACACGCTCCAGACTAAGAAGTTCGGAAACCTATTTAGTCTTGGGGCGAAATGAACTGCCAAAGAAACTGCACCTGGAAAAAATAACCTTCAATGAAATTTAAAGCACCTCTCGTGTCATCGAAATCCCAGAAGTTGGAAGTGGGCTGAAAAGCTGAACAGTCCTTAAAAGAGGACCTGTCCCCCCAATATGAGGTCAGGTTGGAAAGTGGACAAGACAGAACCCCGAGCCGATGGAGCTTGGGATGCAGCAAGAGATCCAACTGAGGCTCCTTCAGGCCTCAGGGTGGAGGCCCCACCACATCTACCAGCAGTGTTTCAGAACTGCCGTGGACCATGGCTGCTTTCTGATTTCTGTCCTTCCCCTTT